TACTGTGGAGAGGCAACCTATTTAGTTCTTCTCTGAACTCCATGTCCTTCATTCTATTGATTACTACTTGCTTTGCTTGGTCAAAACCTAGCCTTAAGAATACCGGTGAGAGCCCATAAGAGCTCAACTTGTGATCAATTGCCTGTTTCCAGGAAGAGGGGAAGTTGTCAGTGAACACTAGTGGGGACAGGCCCTCTGGAAAGAAATGCATTTTAAGCCAATGAATGATCATCATCTTCCAGACTCTTACCTGAATTTGAGGTATCGTGACTTTTTCCTTCTTTGTTAAACAGGGCCAGCAAAACACGGTCCACAGCCCATGAGTTTGACACCCCTGGATTAAGCTATTTTCAGACTTCTCACTCTCAGGTCTGGCTTCTACCAGGACAGTATTTATATTCCATGTCTTACCTCCTTCTATATTGTCAGGAGTCGGATTCAGAGTAGGAGTTGTAGTTGGGAAGGTCTGAGGCAACGAACTCATGTCAAAGTTAGTCTCTATGACAAACAATGATCGCAAACTTGGTGAGTGGATCCTTCTTCATGCCATCATCATGCTTCTAAAAAACTGAGCACACACATGACGTTATTACAACCAGGTAATGTCAGAAAGGGAGAATTTTATAGCCATTAGAAGCACAGAACCATTTCACTAGCCCAGTTTTTACCAATGGGGGAGCGTGGGGAGATACCTGCTTGCTATTTGGGAATCGCCAACTTTGTTGGACAAAACTAAGACAATGCATCATTGCCAGCATGCATTTTCAGTCTGGATGGTGGCACCATGTAGAAAGGTTCCCTTCCTGCTTCATCCTGTTACAGCAGGGGTGGGATTCAGCCAGTTTGCACCAGTTTGGGAGAACCAGATATTAATTTTGCATTTGGTTCGCCAACCCAGTAGTTGCAAGGACTGTCTGTCCCCCACCCACCCCGCCCCTCTCCTCCCAGGAGTCTCCATGCAGCCCGTCCATCATGCCAGGTAAGTGCAGGGCCCGTGCGGAGGCTCTGGGAGGGCGAAAAATGAGCCTCCCAGAAGTCATGAAGCGGACTTCCGTGAGGCCCATTTCTGGGAGGCCCATTTTCGGCCTCCAGAACCTCGGGGAGGCCATTTTCGGCCTCCCAGAGGCTTGACAAAAGCCTGGGAAGGGCAAAAACTGGATCTGAGAAGGGCAAAAACTGGTACCTGAGAGACCACCTCCTGCCGATTACCTCCCATAGACCGATTAGATCTCACAGGTTAGGTCTCCTCCAGATTCCATCCGCCAGCCAATGTTGGCTGGCGACTCCCCNAAAGATTATCCTCAGACTCCAGGGCAAAAGGGCTTGGTTAATACCCAGCTGTTACACCTCACTCTGGAAACTGCCCTATGCTTCTGGAAGTTGAAGAGAACAATTACTTGAAAAGCAGGAGTACAAACAGAGCCAGTAGACGCAACCCTCCCTTGCTTCTCCCCCAGCTACAGAATACTTAAACATTGTTTCATCACTTCTAGCTCTTCACTTGACACCTTTTCCCAATTTATATTTGGTTTGCTGGCTTCTTAAAAAGAAACCAAATCAGGCTCAAGTTGAAGACAGTATGCTGGGCTCCTGCTAGCAAATAAGTGTACTCCGTTTCCTGATTTTGTTTGTAGAAAAATATTTGCAAGTGGTGAGAGTCAGATCCTGGCCATGTAGAAAATTCATTCATTGCTTTCTGTGGCTTGAGGCAGAAAATCATTGCTTAAAAAAAAATAATCAGGCTCTTTTGCTAGTGAAGGAGGGAAATGCTGCACTTTTCTCATTACAGGTTGACTGGCAGAAGCTTTGATGTAATTCTTCCACTCAGGAAGGAAATGATAGAATTTGTTCATGTTGGCAGGTTTTCACTTTGCCCAAAGTCATCTCCAAACTGAAGTTGAAACTTACAGCACTGGAAGGCTCCCGGGTGCGAAAAGTGGCCGTTGCCAACTTTGTCAGCTCTAAGACCGAGCATAGTGAGAATGACTTGGCTGTCCTGACAAATCAGGGAGACATCCAGATTATCTCTCTGCCTTCACTTAAAATCCAAGCCCGTTATCCCTGTATTCGCAAGGAGGATGTGAGTGGCATTGCTTCCTGTGTATTCACCCGATATGGGCAAGGTAATATGGGGATCATCCATGCGTTACCGTACTTTGGTGTGCTAGGCCTTTGAAACTTTTGAGCCTCAAGTTGAGAGCATAGAGATGTTTTGTCTTTGTACTTATAATACTAGGAAGGCTAAGGAAGAAGACTGGGTTGGGGAAATGGGGAAGAATCATCTCCTTTTGTACCGAAACCAAAATTTTGCTTAAACTGGTCTATTAATAAAGTGCTCTCTACTTTGATATTTGGAGGGACGCAGTAGCTCAGTGGCTAAGAGGCTGAGCTTGTTGATCAGAAAGGTCGGCTGTTCGACAGTTCAAATCCCTAGTGCTGCGTAATGGAATGAGTTCCTGTTACTTGTCCCAGCTTCTGCCAATCTAGCAGTTCGAAAGCATGTAAAAATGCAAGTAGAAAAAATAGGAACCACCTTTGGTGGGAAAGTATCAGCGTTCCGTGCATCTTTGGCATTGCGGCCACATGACCACGGAGACGTCTTTGGACAGCACTGGCTCTTCGGCTTTGAAACGGAGATGAGCACTGCCCCCTAGAGTTGGGAACGACTAGCACATATGTGCAAGGGGAGCCTTTACCTGACCTTTATCTTACTTTAACATTTGCACAAAAGTGCCTTTATGAGGTAACAGCCTAAGGAATCAATATCCATATCCTAGTTGCAATTTTTCATCCTTAGGACTTTTTAAAAAAACATATCCATCCAAAAAAGAGTTAGATACTTCATTGGGATCTCCAGTAATAAAATCAAACTAATCAGTTCAGATGCGACACTGGACGTTGATCATGTAGTCAGCTCTGTATGTTTGTTCTGAATTTAAACCAGCTTTGCTGGTTTAAACCAGCTTTGCTCACGTGCACTTATTTCCAAATAAAGGGATATTTACAGCCTCCATGTATGTTTGTAACCTTAATCTGTTTAGAAGGGAGAATGTGCATATGTAGGACTTTGGGAAACAGGACCCCCCTTGCATAACATCTATCCCTACTCAACTGGCTGTTTCTCCATCATTCCCTTCAGGGTTCTATCTCATCTCCCCATCAGAATTTGAAAGATTTTCCCTTTCGCCAAAGTGGCTGGTGGAACCTCGATGTCTTGTGAAAGCATTGGAAAACAGAGAAAACAGCCACGGGCACAGCACATCTGGCACAGAAAGGACTTCAAAGAAATCAAAGTATGTCTGTCAGAGTTTCTGTCAGTCAAGTCAAGTATCCATTTTGTAACACTTACGAAGTGTAACTTATGTGACAGTAAGGTTGATAATTTTAATATTCTTGTTTTGTGGTTGAAGAACCCAAATCTCTAGGGATCCTGCCCAGTGTTGAACAATACCATGATAATATTGCATATGCATTCATATTACTATAATTTTTGGAATGTATAATTCACAGAACTATGAAAAGACCAGTGGTGAAATTCAATTTTTTTTACTACCGATTCTGTGGGCATGGCTTGGTTGGCGTGGCAGGGGAAGGTTACTGTAAAATCTCCATTCCTTCCCCACTCCTGGGGGAAGGATACTGTAAAATCTCCATTCCCTTCCCACTCCAGGGGAAGGATACTGCAAAATCCCCATTCCCTTCCCACTCCCGGGGGAAAGATATTGCAAAATCTCCATTCCCTCCCCACTCCCGGGGGAAAGATATTGCAAAATCTCCATTCCCTCCCCACTCAAGGGGAAGGATATTGCAAAATCTCCATTCCCTCCCCACTCCAGGGGAAGGATACTGTAAAATCGCCATTCGCTTCCCACTCCAGGGGAAGGATACTGCAAAATCTCCATCCCCTCCCCACTCCGGGGCCAGCCAGAGGTGGTATTTGCCGGTTCTCTGAACTACTCAAATTTTCCACAACCGGAAAACCTCCTGAATTTTACCCCTGGGGAAGACCTATCTCCAAAAGAGATCCATGTCTGATGTGGAAAAGATTTGAATAGATGTTGTTCTTTACTCTGTATAAGAGCTTAATGTGTCAATGTGTCTGCTTCTCCCCTGGTGTCCAATCAATTGATTTATAGGGTTTACGAGCAAGTAGTCCTCGAGTTATGACAGCAATTGAAACTGGAATTTCCATTGCTAAGCAATGCAGTCAAACACCATATGATCATATCACTTAGCGTTAGCAATCTCTGAAGTCCCTATTGTATCAAGTGCGGATTGTGGGTCATTAAGTGAGCACCTCCTCACAAGGAGTGTGGGTTGCTGGCAAGACATGCCTCAACCCCAGAGAGGTTTTGGGGTGTGTGTACATGGATGGGGGAGGGGGGATTTACCCAAGCAATTTCAGTGCTTCCCTGCCAGGGAAGCTGGCAAATCATGATCACATGACTCCAGGATGCTGCACTCCACATAAGTATGAAGCAGTTACAAAGTACTCAGATTGAACATGTAACAGCAGGAGTGCTGAGACAGCCAGAACTTTGAGGCTAGTCATAACCATCACTCATTCAATGCTAGTTACTGAACAAGTGGTGATTAACTGAGGACTATCTGAGTATCACTTTTGAATAACCTTAGACTGCTCAGTTGTGTGTTTCTGGGCAAATGAAGCCTGATATTACGTGGATAGAATAAAGATCTATCTGTGAAACCAATTCACCTCTAGGGGAATGTTCTAGGTCAGGGGTATCAAACTCACGTCGTCATCAGATGACCTATCGGGACGTTTTTTCCCTTCCCTAAACCAGGAGTGGGGTGGCCAGTATGTGACGCGTCTGGCACGTGGGCTGTGAGTTTGACACCCTTGTTCTACGTGTTCTCTTTCTAAATGTTGCAAGTTTAAATAAAACATGGGTTGCTGTAATGTTAGGACTAAAGAATACTGCTTGATCTATCAAGTTCAGAGCCAGAACTATTGAACAGTTGGTCTCATTGGCTTTTTTCTTTTTTTGCAGCAGCAGCATTAGGGATTCAAGACAAACCTCTGGTGAACCAGGTGGTGATGGTAAGTATTTAGAACTCAGTTGCTTTTGTGCCTATCATAGAAAACGATGGTGTCTTGGAATAATTTCCTTGCATTGTATCCCATAGTCATAAGAATAGAATAGAATTCTTTATTGGGCAAGTGTGATTGGACACACAAGGAATTTGTCTTCGGTGCATAAGCTTTCAGTGCACATAAAAGCTATGTGATAAATCATGATCATAGTCATCATAAAAATACATTCATCTTAAATCATAAGATACAACACTTAGTGATAGTCATAGGATACTAAATAAGCAATGAACATAAATCATACTAGGAAGCTCAATAGCAATATAAATCATACAGATACAAGCAACAAAGTTATAATCATAAGTAGAAAAGGAGATAGGTAACAGGAAGATGAGAAGAATAATAGTAATACAACCTTACTAAATAGTTTGACAGTGTTGTGGGAATTAGTTGTTTAGCAGAGTGATGACTTAGGGGGGGAAACTATCCTAGTTGTTCTGTTGTCGTTTTGAGGGTGGAAGTTGAAACAATTTATGTCCAGGATATGAGAAGTCTGTAGATATTTTCACAGCCCTCTTTTTGACTCATGCAGTGTACAGGTCGTCAATGAAAGGCAGGTTTGGTAACAATTGTTTTTACTGCAGTTCTAATTATCTGCTGGTCTGTGTCTGAATAGGTAGTGTGGCAATCCATACGCAACTGGGTGCTACAGGTGCAGAAAAATTAACCAAAACTTTATAAAACATTTTGGAAAATTTCATGACATCCCCCACCCCCCAAGAAAGAGCTGAAACGGCAAGGAAGAAAACAATTTATCACAAAATATCAGAAACATCCTCCATCTGTGTGCACAGACACACTGCCCCTATCACCACACACTCCCTTACATACCCATGCCTTTTTAACCAAGAGTTAATTTTTGGTTATTTAAATACACTCTATAACTATGTGGTGAATTCTGGGAAATGAAGCCTACATATCTTAAAGTTGCCACAGATTTGAGAAACACTGCTCTAGAGGCATTTAAAAAGATCCAAAGATCTAGTCTCTCCACAGCATCCTTTTCAGGTAGCATCTCTTGGCCTGGTAAGAAATGGAGCAGTAATGTTTTACTCCTTTCCATCCCTATGACCAATTCATCAGTAGATTGGTAGCAGGGAACGTTATAATTCCCACTTCAGGTTCAAGCAGTTGGTTTACCTTATTTTTGTTAGAGTTAAATGCTGTTTTGTTTAACTCTCCTTGAACCATTAAAGCATATAACTAGTAATACTACTAATACTAATAACAGTTAATTAATAGGTGCTATGTCCATGTCTCTGCATGGTATGAATCACCTTTCTTCTTTGTCATTTTACGGTAGATTTGAATTTCAAAATTGGGTTTTGGTATGCAGAAGTAAGTCGTGGCCTTGGTTGCTCAGAGGATTTAAGGACCTGTCAGCCATTTTAATAACTTTTAAAACATTTGTTTTCTCTTTCTGTGTTGATACATTCACTCTCAAAGTCCTATTTTTGCCTCCAGACTGTGAGAATTAGTTGCTTTAATATTAATACATATATTTTTCCAGAAAGAATGACTCTTTCTGTGTTGATACATTCACTCTCAAAGTCCTATTTTTGTCTCCAGACTGTGAGAATTAGTTGCTTTAATATTAATATATATATTTTTCCAGAAAGAATGACTGATAGGCTGATGGAACACGCCCTTCTCAATGATGAAAGTAAGAAAAAGGGTTGGGAAATGGACTTTTCGTGGAAATTATCCTAAATATTTTTACTAATGCAGTTTCAACTCCTTGTTTTTCCACCCAAAGGCATATAACTTCAATAGATTTCTTTCTGAGTTGTATGTTTTGTGTGTTTAACAGATCAGACTTAATATATCTGAGATGACTAATAGGCATTATTCAACATAGCTGGCCATTTGTGTTAGTATAGTCTTTGTACAACATGTATAACAACGAAATTGGTTTTAGCCTCACTGGTGCAATCCATGACAAAAAATACAAATAACATAAATAGTATAAAGAATAATCCCTATGCAAGTAATTAGGGGGGAAAGAGAAAGAAAAAAAAACTAGTCATATGTTTCCACTTGTGCGTGGAGTGATTATGGTTGTGTTTAAGAGTCTCAAAGCGCAAGGATAGAAACTATTTTGAAACCTATTTGTTTGGCTGGCTATACTTAGAAGTCTTCTGCCCGATGGTAGAAGTGCGAAGAGACACTGACCGGGGTGTGAATCATCTCGTGAGTATCTTCCTTACTCTGCTAAAGCAGCGAGACCTGGTGATGTCATCCAGTGGTGTTAGAGGGCGACCAGTGGTTTGTGTATGGTGTGTGTACTCTTCAATACTTGCATCACATAGTTTCCAGCTGTTGTTCATAATTGCTAATATGCTTAAAAACCAAGCCACATTTACTTTGTGTCTGTTCGGAGCACAATGGTTCAGTTACCCCATCTGTGAAATGGACAATGTTAACCCACCTAACAAAGCAGTTTGAGAGGGGTTTCAGTGTCCAGTGTTCTGCAGCTCCAAAATGTTACATTCACTTATTTCTATATTACTTCCAGGCTATGATGATATAGGCACATGTATTTCTCATAACTTATTTTTTCCCCTCCTTTCAGATGTTCTGAAGGAAATCCAGAGTACGCTAGAAGATGGGAGAGGGTGAGTATGATGCACCCATATTTGTGATGTCTGTTAAGGAATTAATTTGGTAGGTCACGAGTTCAGATATAGTAATGGAAAGGGAAGATCAATAATGTTTTTTTGGTATTTTTGGAGATAAACATTCTGAAGGAAGAGGGATGTTACCATTTGGATTCTAATTACACAGCTTTCTGCCAGTTTGGATGAGATGCATGTATTTTTTGTTTTAGGAAGAGCTTTTAAGTGGTAAAAAGACATTAAGATTTTTAAACTAGGTCATGGGTGTCAAACTGGCGGCCCGCGAACCAAATGTGCGCACAGGCCACACACACCCAGCTCCGTGAAAGAGGGAAACATCACGTGACGACAACGTGACGCCATGAGATTGACACCTGTGAACTAGATCTTTTTATAGTAGAGTGTGTAATTGAGTTGTTTCCTTTTTGAGGAGAGAGTCTTTTCTAAATAGTAAATAAATTTGCTTAGAAATAGGAAGTTGCATGTGTGTATGATATATGCATATTATGTTTGTATCCAATGAGAAAAGTGAAAGTTGATTAGTGTTAATTGTATGAATTTGGTTTTTAATTTTCCAATTAATTCAGTTTGTAACATTGGAGAGATAATTCTTCTTAGAAAGACAGCTGCTTTTTGTTCCAAAGTTGCCTTTCCAAAAGGCAACTTTCTTGGTTTTTCTCTCTGAAAACTTTTATTTTTTGAATTAACCATGACTGAATGATTAAGAGTCTCCATAGATACAGCTGCTTTTTTCTGAAGCAAACAATCCATGAAATACTGTTGCAATGTATTACTTGCATATGTTTGCTTGGAAAGAAACTACCACTATATACTGTATATGAAAATGATATGGCATAAGCTGGCTATCTCATAATCTCCTGTTTTTCATTTTTTAATGCTTTTTGTTTTCTTCATTTTTTGGTAGGAGTTACTATAATAGAAGTTCAGGAAGAATCCAAGTAGGGCATACGCTAAGTAATGGAGGAGGTAAGTTGACTTTATATTTTTACTTGTAGTCGGTATTGAAACATAATAAACTATGGCTTGTTACAAAAATATATTGTTTCCTATTCTTCATTTGGGACTGCTGAGCAATCTTATAAAAATTTTCTCCCTTTAACTGGAATAGGAAACAACTAATTTCTCTGAACCTGAGAATGTTAGCAAACTAGAATTGTATCTAGTTTGAATTTTTCCCAATAATTTTATTATGGTTATTACGGTTTATTTTGAACAAATAAAACTAACAAACCTTATACAAATATACGTATATAAAAAAGTAAATGTGAAAAGAAAAAAAATCCCCCAAAAAAGATAGTAAGAAAAAGATTGTTTTCTCTTCATCCCTAGCAAGTATATTCAACATTAACTATTTATGACTGTCTCTTCAATTACAACCAGATACATCTTCATTCTATATTTCATCCCATTGTCTATAAACTCATTTCTAAATTGCAGGATCCAATCTGGGTCATCTCTAAATCTTCAGCTCTCCTTATTGATCAATGAAGGTCCAGTAAAAATTAACAAAAATAACAATTAAGTATAAAACCTTTCTCTTCATTTAGTCTATATCAGTGGTCAACCTGGTCCCTACTACCCACTAGTGGGCGTTCCAGTTTTCATGGTGGGTGGTAGGGGTTTGCTGTAACTCTGCTTTATA